TATGTGGTTTATACTACAAGTTAAAACAGTCTCAAAACATTGTAAGACTTGTTTTTTCTGCTTATCGTTTGCTATTTTTAAATGAAATCAGTTAAAAATGAAGTATTTTTAGAGTATGTGTTTTCCAAAGGTGCTTGATGTGCTTGGCAAAAATAAAACTTTTCATTTAGTATATAACTGTATTTTAGTAATCATTTACACAATAAACTCTAAGGCTTAAAAGAAAGGAAAATGCATATCTATTATTTGGAGAAGATAAACTTATTACAAAAGGAAGGGGGAAGAATATGTCATATCAAAGTAAAATTTTAAATATATCCATCAAGAAAATATACATTATACCCTTTCCAAGATTGCTAGCTTTTGAATAAAAATGCAAAGCAAAACAGATATGGACACTTGATGGTAAATGACATATTGGTTTTGTGCACAGATATTGAATGGACCTCTCTCTTCATCAGCGTGACATGGAAGACTTAGAAACAAGGCTTTGAGAGGTCTTTAGAAACAAGTGATTTTTAAAACTTGAAAGAATGGTAATCTTGCTGATTAGGAGATATATGTAAATGCTGTTATAGCGACCTGCCATAAAATGTAAATATCTTAAAGTAGTTAAATGACCAGATTGCTAATGCTACTACAGAAAAAGCTGAACAGCTGTCTAGTCTAAATTTGTACACCGTGGTGCACTCTTTGCAATTAAATACTTTAATGCGCACAAACAAGAAACCAGTAAAGCATCTAGAAAAATGTTTTGGCTAATGTTTTCTTCCTCATGCAAATATGTGCTGTACATGTAATAAATATATTTTTGTTTGCTGGAAAATGCTCTTTTGTGCTCTAACAAAGTATTCAGTAATGGCAGGTTATATGTTTATTAAAGTGCCTAATGGATACAGCTCTTTTAAATGTCTTAACTGAAAGTTCTGTAAGCTTCACTAGATGACAAATAACTTCATAAGCCAGTGTCACATGATCACTTTTAGAATTTACAGAGCCCATATTTTTAAATTGTATCACATATGTGAGATAACTGACACATTTATAGGCATCCTCTTTAGCAGCTAAACAGGTTCACGATGGGGTCTGCACAGTGAACATGAGGGGAGGGGAGCTGAGAGGTCGTCATGGGGTTTAAGGTATGTATCAGTAACCAAGAATATGAAACTTACTTTCATGGTAAGGAAAATTATTGAACTGATGCATGCTTTGAGAGCCTAAATATTGAAAGGCCTGGGGGAAAATAAGATGATAGAAAATGAATTATTAATGTTTTCAAAAAATAGGTCTTATGACATGTACCAGTATAAAAGGATTTTTTATGCAGGTCCTATTGGGGCTTTAGAAAAACGCATGCATTATGGACTTTTAGAAACAAGAGTCTTTTCCTAAAGACATTTGCATATTGTAGAAAAGGGTCAATTTCAATAATTTCTTGGATAACAGTGAATCTAAGGCTTCCTTGATAATATAAGACAGAAGTTCACCAATTCCATAATTATAGCCACTGGGAAAATTGTGAAGACTTAATAGGTGAAGAGGAGTGTTGATTAGAAATAAGGCAGCTCAATCTCCAAATTCTTTATAATTCTTTGCAATAAAAATGCTATAAGTTTATTTATTTATTATTTATTTATTTATTTTTTTTAGCTGAGCCATCCTGCCACCTGTTGGCAGCTCAGCGGCAGCTCAGCTCCGGCCGGGAATCGAACTGCTGAGCCACTTGGCCATCCCTACAAGTTTATTTTTTATTTCAAGCTTTTAAAGCCATCGTTTGTTTTCACATTTTCAATTAATCATTTTGTACAACATCTTTCAATCTCAAAGTTGAATGTATCCATGTGAAGCTAAAATCCTTAGCATGATTATAGAGAATTTGGTGAAGAGCTAGAACATTCAGATATTCAAAGACAGAGACTGAGCGAAACAATGGAAAGATACTAAATTGTGTCTGGCGGGAAATATGGAACCCATGTTTGTGGTAAGTGGGATAAATAAACTCCTTCCTGGAGATGTTTAGCTTTGCACTCAGGAGGATCTGTGCCTATGCTACTATCTGATTACAGATTCCTGGGTGTATGTAGTTGTGCTCAGGCTGACTAAAAGGGAAACAACATCCCATTTTACATTTCACATAACTGGCTATGAATGGACTTCCTTTACTGATGACCTCTCTCACTGCTAAAGAAATTTTGAGATTTTTTTTTTTTTGCCAGCATCAAATGAACTAACAGTGGTGACTAAACAAAAGCAAAACAAAACACTTTGAAACAACAGCTGTGCCAGGAAAGAAATAAAAATATTAATATCTGAGGAGACTGTATAATTTCTGCATTAATTTGAGATTTTTTTTTTTGGCACTATCAATACATTTGGTAAGTTTGAAAAGCCATTCTGGCAACATTAACATATATTCAAATGTGTATACATTCCAACTTTAAGTGTAAATTTAGCTTCCAGCAAATAAATACCATAGCTGGTTTTTGGCTTCTACTGGTATTTTGATATTCTCATTAATTAGTTTTTTTTTTCTTTCAGATTTTTAAATTGATTGCAACATGCTCAAGTAGACTTTCTAGTCAATTCACCCAAATTCCAACAGGAATTGGTTTATAAATTGGTTCCAACTGGAACTGGTCATTTGGAATTTCCAGCATGGGAAATTATTTTATATGTGCCTCGATAAGTACTCTAAGTTACAAATTGATGTGTCTAAATCTAATGAAGAAAACAAAAGGTACTGTTATGTAAATGTTGCACTTAAAAATATCTATATGATTGGGCATCTAATATCCATCTAGCGTTAAGGGCATAATGTACATTTTTTTTTTTTTGGCCCTTACTTAGCATCAAATGACAGCAGCCCATAAGCACAGTAAATACTGCGCTGTACTTGCCAAGTTAAGATGATTAGTTTATCCTAGCAGTGCTATGGCAAATTGTCAACAGATGAATTTTTTTGTCTGTTTCTGCGGACTCAAAGCCGGTGCCGGGAGTCATGGCTGTAACCTCCAGGCGATCCTCGGTTCCTGTGGGGTTTGTAAGTGTCCTGGTAGGAGTCGGGGTAATCTTCTTCCACAAGAGGGTAATGATCTCGGCTGTGCTGGGAACTGGAAGACAAGCGGTTCCTACTCTTCCGAGCCCTTTCATTGTGATAATTTTCATCGGAGGTCATTAGACTTCGTCTTTCAATTGGAGAGTTCTCTGTGGAGTGGTTGCTGTGCCTCGTGCGCTGACTCTAAAAATATCAGACAGTTCATTGATTAAATAATGTCAGCTTCATTCACCTAGAACCTGTAAATGTATGTACAACAGCAGGATCTGTACAATAAGATGCTAAATATCTGGTGTACTAAAGCAGTTTGATGCACAAATGGTCTGCTTAAAAAATCTGATCTTATTTATTTGGGACATAACATGCAAAGATGCCAAAGTACTGAAAGTTTATGAATTTAATTACATAATGCTGCATGATTATGTTTCCTATTAAAAATACAGAATTGAAAGTTAACTGCTGAATGGAACTTTAGGAAGGCCTAATAATTCTACTTCTATTGCAAAAATAAATGAGGATTACTTTACTATTGGGAAATAAAATTCAGAGTAGCATCTATTATTTCTCTTTTGAACTGATAAAATCTTTCTCTTCACCTTTAACAAGCTAAATATTCTTTATATCTTTTAAAAATATTTTAATGCAGTTATGATTTGTGCTGCCCATAAAATAATTTATTTGTTTCTGCAACCTACATAAATGTAAGACTCAGCATTATTCTTTCCAAAGGAAAGAATACATTCTGTACACAACAATTGTGGAGCCAACTAATTGATACATTTATGAATCTTGCTTCCTCAACTGAAATGTCCTGCAAAAATAATCTTCAGCTATAAACTAAATCCCTCTAATACCATTAATTGAAATTAATATCTTCAGACACTTATTTAATGTCTTCAAAAATGTTATTTAGCATTTTTTCTTCCAATCCTGGGAAAACACATAGCTGTATCTACCTGCTTAGGTGGGTTACCTCAGTTAAGATACCAGATCCTGATCAAACCAAAGACCCAGATACATTTCCCTTAAAGGGCACTCACCTTCACACTGAAGGAAACTCATTCAACAGTCCCAGCCTATGCCTTTAACCTCAGGCAGGGGTCTACCAATTAAATGCCATGGTTACTAGGAGAAATAGACCACAGGATAAAAGGTACCATATTCACTCGAGTGACACTAGGAGAACCACTAGAGGTGGATGTCTTTGAGATGATGAGTAAAGAGTGTTGTATTTAGAAACAAAGTGCAACATTTCATTTCTATGTACATTATAGGAGCACATTGCTTCATGCATCCATGTCTCATCCTACAATGTAAAATTTGGAGCCAACTCAAATTAGTCAGTGGAAATGCCACACTCAGATCAGCACACAGGCAGTGAAACACGGCAAGAAATAGTCTTGTATACAATATACTGTACATTGTATACAGTAATATGTATATTATACAGTAGTACATTTCCCATGTTCATTTCCAGTCTCAAAAGCTATTCATTTATATGGCAGTTTTTCTGCTTACAAAGATGTAATTTTGTAGTAGAGTAATACAGTTATAATAGCATTCCAGAATGGCATTTATCTCAGAGTTCATCTACATGATCTTCAATTATGACTATCATTAAAACCCATGAATACAAAACTAGTCATGATGCAAAAGAGCTCAACTGACTACCTGTTCCTTGGTCAGCTGGGGCTCTGGCCACATTCCAGCAGCTGCTTGACAAATGGTAAATAATAATTGCTATAGAAAGGCAGGATTCACTTTGTATCACGATGCCTCTGGCTCCCCACATCTAGCTCTGAGTGTAGCACCAAAGCAGCAGAAGAGAGAACCTGTGTTCATCCCCAGCTTCCCTAAATGACACTTGTGATAGTTGCTGACCAAGGTGGGCCTCCACCCCCTCACCCCCCATCACCCCCAAAAACTCAGGGATCTGTCATTGTTTCCAAACACAGGAGCTCTACTCATGTGCGCATTCTGTATTGCACAAGAGAGGGGGCCCAGCAGCCCGTGGGGCAGGGTTTGTTAAGGGCAGTTAAAAGGTCCATCTATCCCCAGATATCTTACTTAGCTTGCCACGGTGCCTGCCGCTACTGCCAACTCTTAAGAAGTGACATGGAGAAGTAATGGACAGTTGTACTGAGTAGATGTTAAGTTTCCTAGCAGAGTCTAGACATAGAGTCTAACTTATCTAAGTAAAAGCCATTATAAATTAACAGAGATCAAAGTTGTAAGGAAAGGGCCATTGTCTAGGTAGCTTTGTTTAGGGTAGATCATGATTAAGTAATATTTAGATTTGTTTTTTATTTTAATGCCCATATATAGTTCCCTCTTTAGATTAAGGACAATCTGTCTCTGTCCCAATCGAGTTCCCTACAGAATCTTAAAGTAAGATTGTAAAAGCCCGAGTGAAACGTGACAATACCTGTAACCCAGAAATTGCTGTGGGATAGGGTGAGAGTGCTGTTGAGCCCAAATTCCTTCCGAGCAGTGGGGTCATTGGGGTGCTACTGGTTGTGTGGGTGGCACGCCAGTATGCCTCGAGATATTCTCCCAGGTGTTCACATGCATCCTCCAGCTGGTTTTCATCTAATATAACATCAAACATTTCCTGCAGATGACAAGAAACATCCATTTTATTTACACTTGACGTTTTTGGCAATGAAACCTAAAATTCCACTTAATTCAGATAATAGCATTTTAATGTATAGTAGCAAGTATCAGACGCGAGAGGTCATACTGGCAATTTCTAAAGTTAAAAGTCAAATGAAGAGCTGCACAGTTAACCATGTGCAAACTTGGACACTGACCTAAAAATGGGAGTGCTCATTAAATATTTAGATTTTTCATTATGTAGCAAAAAAAGGTGAGAGGTAAGTGTAAAAGTCTTATGAGTAGAATATAGGGAAAAGATCATGCATTCACATCTTTATCCATATATTCCTATAGAGGTGAATTATACTTCAGAATATGAGAGGAGCAATTAACGGTACTGAAAGAGGAGTTCTAAAATCTTTTGGGCAATGACCATATCATTGGAATAAACATTTCACCTCCCCAAGTAGCTGTGTTGAAGGGAATAACATGAACTTAGATAATATTCAGAATGTTGGAGAAAATGATGTTATCCATCTCACGGTAAAACAATACGGAAAGAAGGTTTGGGATTAATACTGGAAAACCACATTGCAGATATGTCCGCTAGAAGATCGTTGTGTGAAATGGCTAAAAAAGAAAAAGAACCAGCAGTATTTCATTGTAGGAGGGAATGGGCGTCACACAAAAAGTATCTGGAGTCCATGTTTCTGTCAGTAACAACTTCATGTGGCCTATAATCAGGAAGTATTCTTCCATCCAAAGCAGCAGAGTGGCCCCTCTGTCACTGCAGTGGGATCGGGAATACAGACAGGATATACTTATATACCTAGGACACAGATTCCCTGGAGGGACAGTCAGAAACCCATGGCAACTCACAGAGAGAAAAGGCATTCCACAGGTACGTGAAAGCACATCCCCAACTATCAACAGCTGGATCCGAACCTTCTCTCTCCCACCACTGCCACCACCACCCACCTTCTTTTATGAGCTCTTTTTACCAAAATAAGAACCTTCCAGTAGTGAATGAAATACACGGTTACTGCCATCAGCACTATTACTGTGGCTGGATTGTAGGTTAGTGGCAACTTGGTGACTCTGAGTGGGTGGTGGGTCAGCTGACTCACTCATCAGTGTGAGGGCTTCCTGAAGCAGAAGTCACCATGGAAACAATTTCTCCCCCAACATTTAGTATGTGAATGTTTTCATTGCATGAGTCTTTGCTGAACATTTTGACCTTAATTTGCAAAGCAGTTTGAAAGTCTTTGGAGCACTGAGAAATGTTTAGCAACTAGGAAAAGAATAAGGTGATTTCAATCCAACACTCAGCCAGTTCAACTCAGTGGCTTTTCCCAACAAGAACATTTATTAGTGGGTTTCAGATGGTTTTCTGCATGTTTTATTAATTCATCAAATATTTACTCAGTACCTATTTTGTGCCAGGCATTGTGAATATACAGTGGCAAAGAAAACAGACATCATCCTTACACTCAAGAAACATACAGTCTGGTGGGAGAGACAAGTATTAAAATCCAAAATAATCCGTGTCCCATTGGGACTTTAATTCAGAACAATAAAGAGTCTGAGCCTGTTAATGTTTGGAGCTGTAGCTTCAAGTTCTGGATTTAGGAGAAGGTCAGGAGGGACATGTGAAAGCTGAACTTAGGAGGGAGGAGACATTATGAGTAAGTCAAAGAATTCTGTCTGTAGAGGAAAGAGAATAAAATATAATGAGAAGTGAAGATATAATGGAAGATAACCATACGGTACCTGAGAGACGGGGAAAACTGCTAGTTCCTACAGTTCCATGACCATATAGTCTTCCAGTAAATCCCTTTCTTCACTAAAGTAACTCAAGAGAGTTTCTGTCTCTTGCAATCAGAAGTCCCTTCCCCCATTAATGTAAAATTTTAACAGTTACAAATGTAGAATCTGATAGAAACATTGCATTGTCTGATAGCATTGAAGTGCTACTGTGAGCGGGACGAGAACAGCCCTACCCCAAAAAGCATCCACAGACTCAGACTCAGACAGATGACATAGGACGCAGAAAGAGGAAACTGGCTGCCACTTAAACCAAGGACCACTCACTCTGTCAGCCACTCCAGGCTAAATTGTTCACCAATTCTAGGCTGTATGTTGTTTGGAGTCAACTGTTTATATCATTTTATTTATATTAACTGTATAATTCAACTACATAGGTCTCATTCTGTAATGTGGGTTCTCACCCATGTGTCGTCTCAGCAAGTCATTTTCTTGCTTTCATAAAGTCTGAAAGAACCTTCCGGGGACACCTGGACAGAGGGTCCTGATTGTCGCAGCCAAGATTGCAAAGCCCAAAAGGGCAGAGCCAGGTAAGCAGCCCCCATTGCAGAATGTTATTTGCATGAGGTTTTTATCTACTTGACTGCCCCCGATATTACATTGTCATGGCTGCAGACACAGTTAACCATACACTTAATTGCAAGTGATTTTAATAAAGTACTTATCTTTGCTAATGGATAGAATTTATCTACATCAGCATATGGCTGCTTGCTTAAGCCTCAATCATGTCTAGTAAACTACGCTTTTGCACTGCTAAAAAGACAGCTATATGATGGAAGGTGATTTGAAACTGCGTTTAGGCTTTCAAAAGCACAGAGGAAAGCAAATTTCAGCTTCTGAATGAAATACTGACATATGCGGTTTATTTTCGATGAAGAAGAATTTCACAGCCTGTATATTTGTGACAATTTTTCTTTTGAACTGTTTAGGGAATAACACAGATGATTAGACCAGGATGTTAGGAAATGAGTATAATGGGGAAAAAAAATTTTTTTAAATTATACGTGAAAGTCAAGGAGAAGCAGCCCAATGAATTATGCAAACCAGCTTTGCCAAGTTTTCCTAAATTTAAAGGTTCAAGTCTAGTTCGCTGCTTACTGTGCCATGCATGAGGCCTCCAGCATGGCATATGGATTCAGGGAGCTATCTAAGCAGAAGAAGGTGGCGGTGCTGGGACAGTCACAGGCCATGAACAGTTACCCACTCAATGACATCATATCCTTGGTGACTGTCGGAGATAAGGGGAACGCTGACCTGTTTTCAAAGCAGTGCCACAGCAAATTCCTCTGACACTCTATGATGGGATATTTTCTTCAGCTGAAGTGGGCAGAAGGAAAGAACATGGCTGCTGAAGTATATTAAGAAGTGAACAGAGGAGTCAAAACAAACCAGTAGGAAACCAACACTTTTCTGGATAAGCTCTTTCAGAAAAATTAAAAACTAAAGCATTGTAAATAGCAAGAGTGAAAAACATGCCTCTAGCTCATCCAGTGGTCCAGAGAATGAAAGTGGTCCAGGGAAGAAAGAAAGGGAAAGACTGAAGCTGAATCAAATGGAAACGACGAAGGTCTGCAATATCTTTTTTAAAAGTTGTGAGTACTTAGCGATAAGTATGGTTCTCCATTGACAGAGTATCACAAACTTTCCTAGGGACGGCACCTGAATTAGGGCAACCAACTCTTGGTTTGCTCGTGACTGAGTGTTTCTGGGTACTTGGGACTATCGGTGCCCAAATCTGGAAAACCGGGAAGAATTGGAATGGTCAGCCACCCTAGTTTCTACAGAAGATAGAGCACTTTTCAGTTCCTACACTGAGGATTGGAGCAGGCTCCACTTATTTCTTTTACATTCTTTTGGGAGGGAAGATAGAGACAGGGAGTGGGCAAGTCTTTCTTTATGACTATGAAATACATACTTTCTAGCATACAGGGAAGAATCTCATTAAAAAGCTAACGAGGGCGGGCCGAGTGGCTCAGCTGGTTAAGAGCTCGCTTGGGAGCGCCAGCTCTGAGCAGCAGGGCTGTGGTTCGGATCCCACATTGAGGGCCAGTGATGCTCACCCTCTATAGCTAAGATGATGAACAATGGCTCCACCTGGAGCTGGGCTGTTGTGGGTCACCGGCAACAGCGTAGGCTGCAGCAGGGCTGCAGTGGGCTGCCGAGAGCTACGTGAGTGGCTGACAGCCAGCGTGAGTGGCTGACAGCCAGCGTGAGCGGCTGGTAGCCATTGTGAACTACCGGGAGCTGCTGTGAGCGGCTGACCAATGACCGGTGACCGATTGCCTCCCCCGGGAAGAGTGCAATGATCATACCAATATGGGCCAGTGAAGGGACGTCCTCCACAACTAGACTGAAGAACAAAAACAGCAATTTGTCTACCTGTCTGTTGCCCTTCCCCGATTCCCCAACGCTGTTCCCCTCCCCCCAATTCCCCAGTAAAATATTTAAAAACAAACAAACAAACAAACGAACAAAAAAAGCTAACGTAATTTCTAATACATTTTATCTGGGAAGTTGCCCTTGAACAAATTATTAATAAAAAATTTGGGGCCGGCCGAGTGGCGCGATGGTTGGGAACTCGCTTGGGATGCCAGAGGGCCCCAGTTCGGATCCCACATATGAGGGCCAGTGACACTGCCCTCCACAGCTAGGATGCTGAACGGCAGCTCAACCTGGAGCTGGGCTGCCATGAGTCGCCGGCGACGGCGTGGGCTGCAGTCCCTG